AACAAGATGGATGCAATGAGGTCCACACCAAGACACATCATAATCAAAATGCCAAAAGTTAAAGATAAAGACAAAATCTTCAAAGCAGCAAGAGAAAATCAGGTAGTTACCTAAAGGGAGTTCCCATAAGACTGTCAGCTGATTTCTCAAAAGAAATTTTGAGGCTAGAAAAGGGTTGGCAAGAAGTATTCAAAGTGATGAAAGCAAGGACCTACAACCAAGATTATCCTACCCAGCAAAGCTATCATTTAGAATCGAAAGCAGATAGAGAGCTTTCCAGATACGAAAAAGCTAAAGAAGTTCATCATCACCAAACCAATACTATACGAAATATTAAAGGGACTTACGCCCTGGCAGGTGTGCCATAGTGGATTGAGTGCTGGCCTGCAAACCAAAGGGTCACGAGTTCAATTCCCAGGTGGGACACCTGCCTGGGTTGCAAGCCAGGTCCCCAGTAGGGGGCACACGAAAGGCAACCACACACTAATGTTTTTCTATCTCTCCCCCTCCCTCCTTTCCCCGCTCTCTAAAAATAAATAAATCTTCTTTTAAAAAAGGGACTTATTTAAGGATCAAAACTATGAACAATAAAATGGTAATAAACATATATCTATCAAAACCATTGAACCTAAAAAACAAACTAAGCAAACCAGCAGAATAGAAACAGAATCATAAGATATGGAGAACAGTCTGGTAGCTGCCAAATGGGAGGGGGGATTGAGGGAATAGGTGAAAAGGTGAAGGGATTAAGAAGCACAAATTAGTATTTATAGAATAGTCATAGGGATGTGAAGTACAGTATAGGAAATGGAGAAGCTAAAGACCCATGGACATGAACAAATGTGTGGAGAACACCGAGGGGGTTGGGAATGCTGGGTGGAGGGGACAAAGGGGAAAAAATTGGGACAACTGTAACAGTGCAATCAATAAAATATAATTTAAAAAAGAAATAAATGAAAAAAAGTCAACAGAAGAGGATGATCTGGAAGAAAACCAGAAGAAAATGGAGTCTCCAAAGTGAGGCAGAGACAGTGAACAAATATGACAGCATGAAAAAGGCTGGGCTGAAAGTGTCCATTATACTCAGTAACATCAAGTCATCCGTGGTCCCAGCAAAAGCTGTCTTGGTGGCATGAGACTGGGAGTAGCAGCCAAATTATGTCTACAGTTGAACAGGTAAGCAGGTGTAGACAGGTCTTTGAAGAAGGCTATCTATGCCTAGAAGGAGAGTAAAGAAATAGGGCACTACCTCCCTAGGTAGGGCCCAGGAAGGGCTATGGCTAAGGATTGTTTGTCTAAGATAGAAATAAGCTAGAGATGTGAAGGATCCAGGGAAAAGTTGCTATTACAATAGACAAAGGTTAACCCTGAAAAGAGGAGAAGCATGGGGTCCAATGCAAGGAGATAAGACAAGCCTTGATCCTAATAAGTAGGAAGGAGAACATGACACAAGCAGATACTGGTAGGCTTAAGGCCTTGGAAAGGACAGTGAGAGTCCCATGTATCTACTTCAATTTTTCCTGTAATGTCAGAGACAGGTTGGAATTGAGAGGGAGGAAGTCAGAAGACCCAGCTAAGGTAATGAGATGAGAAGGGCTCTGGGAGAGTAAGTACAAAAAAACTGTAAGAACACAGAGGAGTACCTTCATGGTCTGTCCTGGAAGAAGTAGGGAAGGCTTCATAAGAGTGAATCCTGAAGGGTGAGTAAGAGTTGGCTAGGAAAAAGAGAATCAGGAGAGCAGGTGTGAAGATCAGGAGAGCAACAGCATGGTATACTCAAGGAACAGAAAGTAGAGCAAGGATGAAACTCAAAGTGAAAGGAGGGGTAGAAAAGCAAAAATAGGGTTGAAAAGTGGGAGGGGCTGGGTCATCCTGGCCTTGAAGGCCATGGGCAAGATTTGAGCTTTATTCCCGGAGTCCTGCCAGCCACTAAATGACTCTCTTCTTCTTTTAAAAAATATAGCCTTTCCCCAACTGATGTGGCTCAGTTGGTTGGGTGTCAGACCACAGAGCTAAGGGTCATTGGTTCAATTCCTGGTCAGGGCACATGCCTGGATTGTGGGCCAGGTCCCACAGGTTGCCAGGGGGTGTGCAAGAGGCAACCAATAGATGTTTCTCTCTCCCATCAATGTTTCTCTCCCTCTCTTTCTCCCTCCCTTCCCCTCTCTAAACATAATATTTTTAATTAAAAATAGTCTCAAAAATCTTTTAATAAAGTAAAAATATGTTGCTTTTCAGCTATGTAGAAAAATATGTGTGCCCTGCTCTGGCTGGTATGGCTCAGTAGACTGAGCACGGCCTATGGACCAAAAGGTTGCCGGTTCAATTCAGGGCAGGGCACAGGCCTGGGTTGTGGGACCAGGTCCCCTGGTGGGAGTGTGCAAGAGACAACCGACTGATGTTTCTCTCCCACATCAATGTTTCTTTCTCTCCCTCTCTACGGGTTCGATTCCCAGTTGGGGCACATATAGAAGGCAACTGATCAATGTTGCTCCCTCATGTCAATGTTTCACTCTCTCCCCCTGCCTTCCCCTCTCTCTAAAAATCAATAAACATATCTTGAGGTGAGGGTTAAATATATACACACACATCACATATATATTTAAAAAATGATATGTCCAGAAAGTATCCATCCACACACTATGGCAATATGAAAAATAGAGATATTTATTGAAGACACAAGAAACACTGTACATAAGACAATGATGCTTCAGTGCCCTTCAAAGTAGGCACCTTCAGAACTCACACAGTTCTCCCAGCATCTCTTCCACTCTTCAAAACACTCTGCAAAATCCTTTGTTGGAATTGCCAACAGCTGCCCTGTCATATTTTCCTAAATCTTATCGATGGTCTGAAATCTCCTCCCTTTCAAAGGTGATTTTGGTTTGGGGAAAAGCCAGCAGTTTTTGGAACCCCCAGATCAGCTTCTAGTTCTCGTACTGTCAGTCACCGATCTTTGTTGATTGAAGCCCATACACATTCAACATTCTCAGATATTCGGCTTGTTGCCGGCATCCCAGAACATGGATCACTTTGAACAGATCCTCAACTATAATTGAAGCATTTGTGCCACATTTTTATTTGTAATGCACTTATTGCATTGTTCCCAAAAGCCTTCTAATCATCCAAATAGTTTCTGCAGAGGAATGTTCAAGCTTAACACAAAATCTGATGCAGACTCATTGCCCTACTAGCTCAGTCATTTTTAATGCAACTGGCTACACAGTACACTTGTTCACTCAATGGCGTCTACCACCCTCACTGACTAATACCATGAAGTCAACACTGTTCATGCATGTGCATTCCAGTCCACTCACCTTGGCTGCCAGGTTACATCAATGTCACAGAAACTGTTCCCATTATATTAACAAAGGCTGGACTTTTTCTGGACAGAAACATATGTAACATGAAGGAAGATCAAACCAAAGAAAAAACCTGGAAGTCTGGAAGGCAGGCCCCTTGTAGTACAGGCTTCCCCTACTAGGTGAGTGTTCTAGGAACCCACCTGTATTAGTATACCAGCTGGCATTGTTGTGAGAGTCTGGGTTCAGCTTCAATGACATTTTTTTGAAGACTTTCAGTGCGTTTGCCAATTTCACGACAGGTGATTCACGAGCGCATCTGCACACACCACACAGAGGGTCCTGCAGTTTTTGGCCAAAAACGGCATGACCCTCATGCCCCACCCTCCCTTTTCACCCAATCTCATCCTGAGTGACTTTTTTTGTTTCCCCAGATGAAAAGAAGTCCTCAAAGGGAAATGTTTTACAAATGTGAAAAAGGTGAAAGAAAAAATGGTGAAAGCACTAAAAGGGATCAAAACTGACAAATTCACAAACTGTTTTGAGCTTTGTCTGGTGGGGCTCAGTGGATTGACCACCAGCCTGTGAACCAAAAGGTCGACAGTTTGAGTCCCAGTTAGGACACATGCCTGGGTTGCAGGCCAGGTCCCCAGTTGGTTGTGAGAGAAAATGGACCTGTGTTTCACATCAATATTTCTCTCCCTCTCTTTCTCCCTTCCTTCCCCTCTCTCTGAAAATAAATTTAAAAAAATGTTAACTATTTTGAGCACTGAAAAAAGAAAACATCTCAATAGGTACACTGCATCAAATGGCAAGGACTTTGAAGGTAACTGGAGTTTAAACATGTAAGAATAAATATACAATTTTTTATAAATAATTTCCATTTTTGTGGGTCCCCCCCTCACGTATGTATGTATGTGTGTGTGTGTCTTCAAGTCCTATGGTGACTCTTCTTCAGTAGCCCCTACTGATCCTATGTCTGGCATTTAAGGCCTTGTGTCAATCGGCTACAAGCCTCCTGTCCCACTCCCCTTTCTTCTCTACCCCAGGCTGACCTGCTTCCCAGACAACCCAGAATCCTGCATGAGATCATGTCTAGCCACCCCTTGCGTTTCCAGTGCCCCTAAACCAGAGCCCTGTCAGCTCCTTTAAGTCCTAGTATTTTCTCACATCCCAACTCTCCTGGGAAACCTTTCTAGACATCCCTGCCATACATCCCACTGCTTAAATTCTAAACCAGTTATTGGGCACCAAGCCATCTTTCATTCTCACCCAATCTTTTCCTCAGTCTCTCATGGATGGGGATTCTAGGAGGGACCCAACACAGGGCAGGACACAGAGCGCTATCAATTTATGTTCTTGCTTAAGATTTGGATACCCTCCCAAAGGGTAGGAGAGGAGCAACTGATGCCCTTCCTCAACCAGGCTAGTCCACAGCTTCTGTTAACCCTGCTGTCCCACAACTCCAGGAAACCTTCAGAGACTCCAGACTGTCAGCAGGGAAGGAAGTGCAGCGCCAAGAGGAAACGCTGTGGGGAGGGAGACAGAGTGAGGAGAAAAGGAAAGGGGAGAAGAAGTGGGAGGGATGCTCTAAACTAGAACAAGCAGCTTCCTCAAGGGAGATCAGTACTTAATCCTATTATTTCATCCCTAGGCAAAGGTGCTGGCACAGATGCCCAGAGAGAGGAATGAACTTACTCAGAAGTGGCCAGCCAGCCAGGAAAAGGACTCCATTGGTTTCCTCGGCCTAAGAAGACCCTCTTTCTGTGGCCCATTCACCAGAGACACTCCTCTCTCAGCTCTGGGGACTTTGCCTTCAGGCTCAGCAAACCTAGATCAAATCTCCGCTAGCAAAACTGTGTAGCCGCAACAGAATCATTTCCACCAGTAATGCCCCTGCAAGAACCATCCCCCTCCTTCAGAGAGCCCTGCCCCTTGGGGGCAGCACCGATAGGGCATAGGCTGTAAAATTCTCCAGACTCCCCCACCCCATGGGCTCACGTGGCAGGCTCCTAAAAAGCTATGCTTAATTCGCACCTCTGTCTGCCCATACCATTCCCCAGGAATGCCTCCTCTTGCCTCTCCTCCCATCCAAATTTCACCTCTTCCAAGAAGTCTCTCTTCACTGGCTCTTGCCTCCCTTTCTCCTTGTGCTCCTTGTGTCCGCGGGAAAGTCTGCCTGGCTCTCCCTAAACTCTCCATCCCGCAGCTGGGGCAGTACGGGTTGAAACCACCTAAGGTTAATATTCAGTCTCTACTTAGTTCTCCCAAGCCCCTGACCAGGAGCTCCCGAAGACAGGGGCAGGGACGGGTTCCCAAACAGCTCACCCTCATCCTCGTGACTGACTCCTGTGGGTGTTATGCGGCACACCCAACAAAACCACCCGAGCCGAGCTGGGGCGGACCCCAGGCTCAAGCCAGTGCACCCATCCCCCCCCCCCCCGAAACCCTGAAGCAGCTTAGACCAGGCGTCCAAAGGTCCTTCGCCCCAGGGAGGCGGAAGAGGGGGAGGTAACAACATGGGTCCACCTGCAGGCGCCTCTTGTGAGAAAAGACCCAAAGGAGGCCACAGTTACCCCGTCTCCAGTCTCCCCAATCCCGGGTCATGTGTACCATCCCCAGGAGGAGGAGGGAGGCCAGTTTCCAGGGAACTCCAGGTGGGGGGTGAGGTGGGAGGTATAGAGGGCCCAAGGCCCAGGCTCCAAAATCCAGAGGTCTGACGTCACCCAAGCCAAGGGTTCCCTCTGAGGGAGCTGGGGTTGGGGATGGTGGGGGATGGAGGACCTGGGGGTACCCGGGGCATTCTTCCCCTGCTCCAAACAAGGAAGGTGACCTCAACTCTCCACCTCTCCAGCATCTCGGCCTGCCCCTTGCATGCAAAGGTGAAGCGTCGCCGGTACGGAGCTAGGGAGGGGGGTGGCCACCTTTCGCCCTGCACTCAGCTTCCCTGCAAAGCCCTTCTCCGAGTCTTCAGGCCCCGACTCACCCACTGCTGTCTCTCTGCTGCTGAAAGGCGGGGGCGCTGCCCTGCGCTAAGCTGCACTCGCGATGCAGCGCGGAGCCCGCGGAGAGCCGCTTAGGGGCTGGGAGTAGGGAGCGCGCGCGCCTCCAGCCAGCTCCGCGCGCGCTCCCCGCACCGCCCCTGCCAGCAGCAGATCTCGCGAGACTCCGGGCCACCTCTAAGGCCGCTCTCTCTGCTCTCGCGAGAAAGAAGACGGAACCCTAGCACCTTGCAGGAGCTATCCGAGGTCCTAAGTCCTGTCCCCAGCCCGGTCAGGTGGCCATCGGCACCGCGGGAACAATAGCATGGCGAGGATGTGGAGGAAGAGACCCAGGGATGGGAGCCTGGTACCAGCAGCCAGAACCTCAGCTTCCAAATCTGTAAAATGAAGAAAACAGCCCCCCATGCTGGTTTCAACGGTCTCTGGGATTTACCAGAAAGGAGGAGTGAAAGCTTTGTGAGCAGGAGAGCATGATGACTGCTTTAGGTCCTTCATATCCACAGGTCCAAAGTGACAGCAAGGGGACGGAAGATGGAAGCTGAGAGATGACACGTGAGGAGACAGAGTCGAGACATAGAGAGACATGGACACACAAATCCATGGTAAGATAGATATAGAAAGGCAAGACAGAAGAGCCATGAACATATAATCATTAGAAACATGGGGAGACAGATACAGAAACATGGAAGCATCAAGATTTGGAGAGGACAAAGACCTGGAGAGAAAGAGAGAGTGAAGAGAACCTGATAAATAGAAAGAGATAAGAAACAAGGACAGATAAGCTACACAAAGGAATAGAAAGAGGCAGGCTGAGAAAGAGAAAGAATGAAGGAGACTGTGGTATGCAGAAATGAACACCTAAAAAGAATAGAGACCAAGATAAACATTAAAAAAAAAAAAAAAAGAACTAATGATGATCGAGAGATACCCACTTGGAGAGATGGGGCTGAGAGTGAAAGACAGACTTTTACTGTGAGTGGTGTTTACAATGTAAACCTCCTGTGGGATCACTCCAGCCAGGACCACCCTCTGTCCTACCAGCCAATGGCTCCTGCCCTCTACAGTGCCCTCTGCCCACACCATCCTAAGCCTGGATGGGAGCCTCAGTGGGTGGGAGACACTACAGGGATTCTTTGTCCAGAATAAGAGCCCATTGTCTTACTCCAGCCTTCTGGGAGTGGGGCCTCATGCCCACAGCTGTGCTAGAAAGGGAGCTGGAGTAAAAAAAAAAAAAAAAAAAAAAAAAAAAAGGAGACAAGAACTAGTGAGGGAGAAACAAGGTGGGGAGCCTCAGGGGCTGTGGAAGTTTGAGCAGGAAGCATAATCTAGCCAATCATGGGAGAACAACACAGTTCTGCTGTTGATTCTGTCCCTGGTTCCCCTGTATGGTCACTGCTCTTTATCCATGCTATAATGAAAGATTTATCCTATTTACAGAGCTGTGAGGTGGACCCAATGACTGATGACTGGGCCCCTGGGAGGTTATCAAACATAGCTCCTGCAGGAGAGATTTTGGGAGTCCAAGTGGGCCGCAAGGAAGAAAAGTTCACATGAGCCTTCAGGAGAGGAGTCTGAGGTCCATACTGAAGGCTTCTCAACTGTAGTAAATGTCAAATGGGCTCACATGCCATTCACCAAGGCATGTTTTATGACTAATGCATGGGTGACAGAGATGTCTGGAATCCATATAGAATTTATAGGAGATATCTTGTGGTTCATGCAGGACCTGCAGGAAACGTTTGTGTTCCCATTTGATGACCACAGATGACTTTTCCCCAACCAGAATTAGAAGGGTCTCCTATTTGACTAACAACAGATGCAGGAAGAGTGCCGAGGTCCAAAGTCAGAAGTCCATTTTTGTCCCAGTATAGCACACCTTCAGAATTTGGGTCAATGGAAGGGAACAATGTTTTAGTAGTGACATTTATTTAAGCAAATTTTTATTCAGCAAACATTTGCTGATCACCTACTGTGAGAAACAGTATAGTGCAGTGCTTAGAATATGGATCTAAAAGACAGACTTCCTGACCCTTTCCAGTGGTGTGAGGTACTCATCCTTACTGAACTTTAATTTTCCACAGATGCAAAATAAGGATAATGATAATAGGGCCTGTGTCTTAGAGTTCTTGTGATGATGAAATGAATTAACACATATAGACATGTGTAATCCATGGGATAGTGCCTGGTACACAGTGTTTAATAAGTACTAGTTCATACTATGTGCTAGGCTGTGGGGACATGTCATGTTTTTCCCATGGTGGAGGGTGGGAGTGAAAGAGCCTGAGCCAAACTGTGCAATAACACATTTAAAGTTTCATATTCTCAAAGGTGACATAGGCTCACATATCACTCACCAAAGTATGCTTTATGACTAATGCCTGGGAGATAGGAAGACATGCTTCCTCTAGATGATGCAAGGCATGATAGTGTGGATGTTTAACTCTATTGCAGGGAGGGAGCAAGTGACTGGGAGCTGTAATCCAGTCACCCACAGGGCCCACTTCAGACTGCTTGTCTTTTCCTGCCTATCTATGGCTGAATGAGGCATGTCCGCCCAAGGGTCTCTGGGGGAATATCTGTGTTACAGACCAGTAAACAACAGGAGAAAAAAAAAAGAGGACTAGCATTTACTGAACCCTTAATATATCTGAGTGAGATGCTAAGCCTCATGACTATCTTATGAATAACTGCTTTCCCCCCCATTTTGCAGATGGGGAAAGTGAAGTTCAGAGAGGTAAAGTGATCTGCCCAAGGAAATAAAATAGATGTATCTTAGATATGGAAGAACCAGTAGTTTTAGGCTGGGTTTTCCCAGAAGCAGGCACTGAGATAACAATGTGAATACAAACAGTGTATTTGAGAGATGATCACAGGAAGCACTAGGAGGAGAGTGGAGGAAGTTGAAACAAAGAAATAAGAGGAAACCAATTCAGGGTGCAATAATGAACAGGCTACCACTGCAAGAAGTGGGGACCACTGGGACACAGTGCAGAGTAAACTACAACACAGTTGTCCCACCAAAGGAATGAGGAAACTAAGGTTTGAGGGCTGCTCATGGCACTTCCAGACATCCCTCTGTGCCTTCTGAGAATAGAAAGCCCTCAGTAAGAAAACCCCAGGGGCTTACAATAAGAAGTCATCAGGAATGTCTAAGGGGGCATGGGAAGGGTACTATGAAGTAGCATCTACGCTAATCAAGATCTGAACCTAAGTCTTGTCTGACTTTCAAGTCACATCATGCTGCCTCCAAGATAACCTGTTAGTCCTGTGGAAATCTGCAAAATAGAAACTCCTTTCATAACAAAGAGCTTCCCGCTACCCCTCACCCCACTCCATGTTCCAGGTCTTGTGACATGCCAAGTCCCTGACACTTAGTATGTATACCTGATGCACAGCACTGAGTATACAGTGACATACATTCCTGCCTGCAGAGCTATGGAAATGTCAGAACACCTTGTCCAGTCCAGTCAATACTCAGGTAGGCAACCTTGAAGCTCAAAGAGTTCACCCTAGACCTTCCCGTACAATGCCTCTCCTCGGCACACCTCCTCCCCAACACCCTATTCCCTGTGTTTGTCTTTTCTACCCAACCAGAACTTCCCCAAGGCAGCCTATGGGAGAAAATAGTTGTATAAAGAATATATAAAGAAAATAGTAATAAAACAAATAACCAACCCACTTTTAAAATGGGAAAAGGGGAGTTCCAGCCAAGATGGAGGTATAGGTAGATACACTTCATTTATCACACAACCAAAAGAAGAATAACAACAAGAACTGCCAGAAAAATCAAACTGTATGGAAGTCTGACAACCAAGGATTTAAAGAAGAAACATTCATCCAGACCAGTAAGAGTGGCAGAGATGGGAGCCAGGGCAGAGAGGATGCATGGCAAAGCGACAGACCAGTCATGCTGGTTTAGTCAGTCAGACCAGTCAGGGAGGTGGTGCTGGTGCACCGGGTGGTCTCACATTTGCATACAGATAATCTAGGAGGAATAACATAAGAGCAAGACAAACCATGCAACTCAGCGCAGGAAACTAAAGCCCCAAAAATGCTGGCTGAAAAAACTTGAGGGGGTTTCGTTGGTGGGAGAAGCTTCCAGCCTCATAGGAGACTTCATCTAAGAGACCCACGGGGCCCTAGAATGTACACAAGCCTGCCCACCCAGGAATCATCACATGAAAGGGCACAATCTGCTTGTGGAAAGTAAGAAAAATGACTGAAAGCATGGGGAGAGCCAAGCAAGCAGCTTGTTCCCTTTCTGACTCCCCCACCCCACACACAGCATCACAATGCAGCAAAGGAGTTGCCCTGCCCTGGAAAATACCTAAGGCTCTGCCCCTTACAGTGTAACAGGAGCTCCAATGAAAAGAAATATGGCCCAAATGAAGGAACAGATAAAAATGCCAGAAAAGAAACTAAGTGGCAAGGAGATAGCCAACATTTCAGATGCACAGTTCAGAACACTGGTAAGCAGGATGCCCACAGAAATCACTGATTATGGATGCAAACTAAAGGAAGGAGTGAAGGCTATACAATGTGAAATAAAGAAGTGTATACAGGGAACAAACAGTAAATGAGAGGAAACTGGAACTCAAATCAATGATTTGGAATGGAAGGAAGAAATAAACATTCAAACCAGAACAGAATGAAAAAACAAGAACTCAAAAAATGAGGAGAGGCTTAGGAACCTCTGGGACAACTTGAAACATTCCAACATCTGAATCATAGGGGTGCCAGAAGGGGAAGAGGAAGAGCAAGAAATTGAAAACTCATTTGAAAAAATAACAAAGGAAAACTTCCCCAATCTGGCAAAGGAAATAGAATTCCAGGAGATCCAGGAAGCTCAGAGAGTCCCAAAGAAGTTAGACCCAAGGAAGCACACACCAAGACATATAATAATTACATTACCCAAGATTAAAGATAAGGAGATAAAGATAAGGATTAAAAGCAGCGAGAGAAGAGCAAGAAAAGGAGAGTTACCTACAAAGGAGTTCCCATAAGACCGTCAGCTGATTTTTCAAAAGAAACCTTACAGGCAAGAAGGGGATGGAAAGAATTATTCAAAGTCATGGAAGGTAATAAAAAATCAAGATGGCAGAG